GCACTCACCCGGAAGTGGTGCTGCAGCTCGTGCTCCCGCGAACCCCAATTCCTCCACGCCCCCCTCCCTCCCTCCCCCCAACAGGCTCAGAGAAGAGCTCTGCGGAGAGAAGGCGGGAGCGCCGGAAACGAAAAGGGGGGAGGGAGGGAAATAGCAATGTAGGGGGGGCGCTAATGGAGAAAGAGGGGCGTGCAAAAGCCGAGTCACTTCCGGGAGTGGCTGGAACACATCCGGCGCCGCTAGTCTGCGAGATATTCAGGGCAGAAGTTACGGTAACTCGGGGCGGAAGTAGCTTCTGCCCAGCGACCGGGTAGAGGGGATGTGACGCTATAGCGGAAGTGAAGGCGGGTTCCGCTAAGGGCAAAAGCTGAAACCGGAGGATTGCGGCCCTCGGCTTCCGGAAGGGACTTCTGGGGAAGTTGGGGGCCGGGGGTGGGGGGGTGGAAACGCGACAGGTTCATCAATTATCCATCAAGGTAGGAGAGGAGGTGTGGGTTCTTCAGATGCTAGGACTCCGTTTCTCTTCCCTCTGGGTGGAATAAGCTGATGTAGGAAATTACCATTATTTTTTCTGATACCCCCAAGAATGTCTCAATGCTTTGAATATGCGGGAAAGGACTAGGACATGTCTATATTTTTCTGAGGTCCCTACTTAGGTCCAGTTAGAACCTCTCCCAGCCATCAAAATCTCCCTCTCTGACACTCCCTTACTCTCTTTACTTTGGTCTTTTCTTGTTGCCCATACCCACATCTCTATCCCCTTACCCTCTTTTACTTTTAAATATAGCACTCATTATTGCCTGATTGTTTGCTGTCCACCTCTCCCCACTAAAATATCGGCTATAGGACAGCAAGGACCGAATTGTTCGTTGCTGTATCGTCACATCGTGGCAGTTAAGTGGTCTGTAAACTCTTGTTGTATAAATGTACTGTAGTTCATTATGAATCCCCAATATGAATCCTTTCAGGAAGCCTTCCCTGATTGCTCCACCCTGTAATGATCCCCTGAATTCCCATAGCATTTAATATGTACCTTTTATTGATATTTTAACTATTTCATACATGTGATTCCCCAGCAAGATTGTCAGCTCTTCATGGAAGGAAATACGTTGCTTTGCTAAGCATGTAGTCAATGCTGAATATGTTGTTTGAATAAGTGAATGCTGTTACAAGCGTGCACCCTGACTTGGCCAGAATCCCTCTGGGCTCAGCTCTAAGCAGAACTGAGGTATCTCTACGAACGGTAAGAGCCCCTTGCTGAGAAAAATAATTTTTTTTTTTTTTTTTTTAAGAGAGTCTCACCCTATCACCCAGGCTGGATTGCATTGCTGCCATCTCAGTTCACTGCAACCTCTGCCTCCTGGGTTCAAGCGATTCTCCTGCCTCAGCCTCCCGAGCAGCTGGGATGACAGTCGCCCATCACCACGCCTGGCTAATTTTTTTTATCTTTAGTGGAGACGGGGTTTCACCATATTGGCCAGGCTGGTCTCGAACTCCTTACCTCAACTGATCTACCCGCCTCGGCCTCCCAAAGTGCTGGGATTACAGGCATGAGCCACCACGTGCAGCAAAAAATAACTTTAACAGAAATAATTATAATGCCCATTTTACAAATGATGAAAATTATCCTCTAAAGGTTCAAGTGATTTTTTTCCCCCAAGGTCAAAGCAAGAAGGTAACAAAGTACACCTTTAAATATTTAAATGTTTAAATAGATGATGCATTTCTTTGTTTGTAATTGTAGTTTGTATCTTTTTTAAAGTGTCTGTTCCCTTTATCACATTTTTGGGCTCAGCACTCAGTCTCTGTTGATGTAGAGTAAGGATTTTAAGGGCTCAGATGTGACCAGACCTATTGCTGTGTGGGTCAGAGATTGCTGATTCAAGAAACCTTGACATCAGGGGCTGGTATTGAAAGGTGGGAACAGGAAATCGTAGTAATAGCTATACGTCCTGGTTCTCCTCCTGCTCTTTTCCTATTTACGTTAACTGGGCACTTCCTAGGCCTCAGTGTCTCCGTCAGCCCTGTTCTTGCCCTTGCTATAAGAAGGAAGTTTCCCAGCTACTTGGAAGGTTGAGACAAGAGAATCACTTGAACCTGGGAGGCAGAGGTCGCGGTGAGCCAAGATCATGCCATTGCACTCCAGCCTGGGCAACAAGAACTGAACTCCATCTCAAAAAAAAAAAAAAAAAAAAAAAGAAGCAAGTTTCAAGTGCTCTGAACTCCTTAGGGAAAAGCTTTAGAACAATAAATGTGGGGCGTAGGGGGAGGAGGGCTGTTAATTTTAGCCTGGGGTTCTCCAGCTGGCATACTGTTCCCATCTTGAATCACTTCCACACCCTGAGCTGTGCCTGGGAGATCCCTCCCTCCTCCTGGGGGCTTCCCCATTCCCTGGTTTGGTCTGAGCCACAATGGCAAGCATTCCAGAAAAATGCTAAGAGAAGCCTGGCTGAGTCATTTGATGCACAGCTCAGGAGGCAAAGAAAGGATGGTGATGAGAGACACTGGTTCCAGTGGTGCCTGTGATGTGTGACCTCGAAGAACCTTCCAGTTCCCAAAAGGGCAGCATGGCCATTGTTTTGTTCTTGGTTAGCGACTCTGCTGCAGGTTTCTGAGGACCTCCCAAAGCCCCACAGTCTCTGTTTCAACTACAGGAGAGAGAAAAGTTAGGGTTTGTTCCTCAGGGCCTCATGACTCTTCATGGCTAACATGACAGTGCAATATCGTTTGGGAGAATTATTTTAGTACAGTTCAGTGTCTGGAACAGTCTCCTTCCTCCTCTGTCTTTCCTGCCATCTGACTTTCCATGGGGAAAGGAGGACATTTAGGGAGAGGGAACAGGTGAGGATTTCCAGTATCTTGCTGGTGTATTTTAATTTATTTAAATTTAGAGAAACAGCGGTCTAATCAGGCAGTAATTAATTCCCTCTTCATTAGGGGCCTTCATGTGTGCCTTTTGCATATGGATGAGCCACGGGTCACACTGTCCCTTTGAAGAGAGATCCTTGCTGAAGGTGAGAGCCCAGTGTGCTCTCTGGCACTTGAGCTCCTTCCCCTTCTGTGCCAATGCTTCTCTTTTCTCCCCACCCTCACCTGACAAGGACTAGATTCCTGTGGGGAAAGGAGGAAAAGTTAATGAGGCTTCCTATCCCACCCTCCTTGGATCTGGATCCCTCCCTCACGGCCCACAGCATGTACCATCCATGCCTCATCCTGTACCCTCAGGTTTCATCCAGCCCGCTCCCTCCCATCAGCCGCCTGCTGGGATATCTTCATGCCCCAATGAGTTGACTCCTCAGAAGCTTGTTTGCCTGGCACCTCTGCTTTGAGTTGGTTCATCAATCCTTGGCCCCGCTCTGCTTCTTTCCTCTGTAGCAGTCCTTTCCTTAGGGAGTGTGACGCCCTGAATGCACACACTGCTGTAGTCCTGACAGATACGCTGCCTCCTCCTGGCACTCACCATTCTGTGCTGCACAGGCTCAGCTCCACTTCCCTCAGCTCACAGTACAGCTCCCAACACCTAAAGCACACACCTGCCAACACAGACATTCCTAGCCTGGCTTGAAAGACAAACGCATGGGGCGTATCCAGTCTAGGGCAGCCCGGGCCACCCTTTTGTACACTACAACATCCCTGTCCTCCCTGAGGCCACCCCATTTCCAGGGAGCAAGTGGGGCACAGATTGGGGGAGGGGGGAGAGATGGGACCTGGGTGGTTACCATAGCAATAGAGCCTAGCAACAGCTGAGAGGCTGATGTGTGGGTTTTCACAGGGCTGTTACAAGAGCCAAACCTAGAATTGGGGACTCAGAGGTGACTGATCTCAACTGGGCAGCCTGCATTCCCTCCCCAAACACACCCCTTGATCCCACCCCCACACCCCTGCAGTGCCTCTCTGAGAGGGCAGAGTAGGGAAACCTAATGAGTTAACCACAGGGCTTCTGATTCTGCACAGCTTTTGGGGGGCAGCTGTGGGTGGGGGCAGGTTAGGGAGCAAAGCTGAAAATAAACCAAGCAGGGCAGCTTCTTTCAGATGGCTCCCGCTCATCTTTTCTCCATTGCTCCATTTTTCTCTTCTCTTTTCCCCATTCTCCCTCCATCTGTCTTATCAGCTCTCTCTTCCACCTTGATCCACCTCCTATCCTTCCGTGTAACTTTCCTTTTCTTCTGTCTCCCTTCTTTTGGTCTTTCTTGACCCTCCCTGGCAAGGAACAAGTGAGCCACGATTTCTATTCTCATTTCTCTTGTGCGACTGCCCATCAGGACGGCTCCCTTCCATTTTGTCCCGAGTTAAAGCCCCAGTTGGCCCCCAGCTCCAGGTCAGAGGAGGGCAGGTGACTTAGGTCTAGAGGGGGTCCCCACCTCATCCTGTGCCTCCTCCTGGCTGTCCACCCCTCTCCTCCTCTCTATGGGGGTCAGAAGGCAGAACCAGGGGACTTGAGTATCTTGCAAAGGCTTTATTTGAAAATTTTGAAACTTACATCCCACAGTAATTCAAGATGATCAACCACAAGAAGAAGGAGATAATACAAAAATATATATCACAGCATAGGAGCCAGGGAAGAGGGG